TCTTCCAGGGATGCTGCTGGGTGAAGCAGTTGGAACTGCCTCCAAAGCCTTTCACGCCTCTCCCTTTGATGTTCACTTTGATGCGCTGTGATTGATGTGGCACAAGGAAGCGCCGATTAGATTAAAATTGGCTTTGTTTGGAGTAATTAACTCCCCCAAAATATAAGAACTATCAAATGCTTGTAAACAACCAAGCGTCACTTGGGCCACAAAAGATCCCGTCATCAGGGTCATAGGGTTGGTTGGCCACGCGCACCCCTGCTCTGGGGGAAGCCAGATGTGGTCCAGGAGTGCAACTATGAGAGATTAAGGCCCTGCAGCTGCATCCGTACATCTGGTAGATCAGAAGCTAAACACATCCACCATCACTCCTGCCCCATCAAGAGCCTCTTCAAAGAGCTGGTCAACGCGGCTATTCCCAAAACCAGCAAGCTAGGAAGATTGGCTTCCATAGGATGTAATTCCTGATGTCCTCCATCATGCAACTATGGGACCACCTCCTCCCTCCATAAATTAAGAAATGAAATACTACTCAGCGCCATCCTGGCCGTATTTGTCCTTGGAGCAGGTCTCTCCCACGTACAGCATGGAGCACGTGCCCTATGAGTAAAAATAGCACACGGCCATGTAATTAGCTCCTGCTTCCTACCTAATGCAAATGCTCAAGGGAGAAGAGGAGGGGAGGCAATCAGGCTCTCGCAGCCAATTTAGACCTAGCAGTGCCTAATCTCTATCAAGGTTGCAAGGCAAGCACATAAACTCACACACATACGTGGCCGACGGGCACATTTAATGCGACATTTCCAGCTTTCAAGCCCTCCCGCACCCCCCCGGCTGAGAAGAGCAACCTTTGGCCAGACCAATGAAACTTTTCTGCAATGATTTAGAGAATTTGTTGGGGATATTCGGAAAGGCCAAATAATTTATCTCCCCCCAAACTCTTTATTGCAAAACAAACCCTAGGAAACTGGGTTTCCTGCCCAAAAGTCATGCTGGATTGTCTTTGATATCTCTCTTTGAAACGTGGGCATTTCCACATGAGGTCTAACGATTTTCTCAGCCAGGCTCTCCCCGACGCTTCTCCCTTGCCAGCGCTAAACGGTTTCCATCACTTTAAATGGCTAATAACGTTTTTACAGCTGGGCAGAAATTAGTGGATTAAGCCATTTGTCGACGTGATGAAATGAAACATTTCCATCCACCGCAATCGCTCACGTGAAATGAAGAGCAATGCTGCTCTGTACTGGGAGATTGCCTACGGGACAGGCTCCTGTCTATAGTTTTCTTTGGTTTCTTTGGCCTCGTGCTTAACCGCACGATCATATTTGCCTGGCCCCACTGGATTGTAGTGCATGGGGATGGAAAAGGCAAAATTGCAATTCCTTCTACAGGTTTCCCACTTTTCATGGGGCTCCTCGAGGCATCTGGAAACTGAAGGGCTGCTGTGCCAATTTGTAGAAGTTTAAATACATTCGTGCAGGCTCCCCAGCTCAATGGGCGAGATAAACAGTGCTTCCTGCGGGAAGTGCAGACAATAGGGGATAGCTAACGTTAATCCCTGTGGCAGGAACCACTCTGGGAGCGGATATTCTGGAATTGCACCACCACCCTCTCGCCAGTGCAGGAACAGGCACTAGGACTGGCACAACCAGGCCCAGGAGCTACAACTCGTTAAAAGTATCAAGCGTCTAAAAAAAGGGAGCCCAGGCTCCAGCGATGGACTAGCCGACCAGCAACAAAGAGGCCCAGGGTACACATCTCAGGACTCCCTTTTACAAAATGGGGCTCCCAGCAAAGGATGCAACTCAGCCACAGACCCCACTCGGCCCTCCATTATATTACTACAAAATGATATAATAAGTAATGATAATTAAAATATACACAGAGGCCATTTGAAGCCTTCCGAGGTGAATTTCCCAGGCACTCCAAGGTGACCCAGAAACATCTGCATTCCTTTGGAGAGGGCTCTCCGACCTGAAATCACTTCTAAGCATAAGCACTTTTTACCCTTAATCTTCCCCAAAAGAACCAATTCAATTCAAGCAGATTTTCCCCAGCTGTACTCCCAGCAAAACAAGATTATTTTTTCCAGTTGTGTAGGCGCTGCTGCGCTGTCACACGTGGAGCCCTTAGCTGCGGCCAGCGTCTGCCCTAAACACCCTCCTCAGGGTCATCTTCCAGCCGGGGTCATCTTCTCTCGAAGCCGCTGAGCATGTTGATTGCCCGCAAAACGCTCGTGGTGCATCCGATCCGTGGAGCACATGGTGAACTGGAGATCTGGAGATGCACCCAGCTGCGCTCTGTGGTGATGCCAACCCCGCCGAGATGACCATCACCACACCGATATCAGCCTTGCTGCATGGACTGATCCAGATCACCCCCCTGATGCCCAAAAGGTAGTACTGGGCGATGGCTATTCCTCAGAGGAAGAAAAGGGATTAAAAAACGGGACAAAATATTCCAGCCTCGAGAATAGCAAATGTGTAACACATGGAGGGGCATAAGGCCACAAGGGCAACAGCAGTCAAAAAAGGGATTTCTGATGACAAGCAGAAGTTGGGCTCCTAGCTTTAAAGCCTACAAGGAAAGCAAAGGCCAATGTGATGTTTTTCCTTTCAAATTATTTCAAGTTTAATGCTATTTGCAGCTCCTCACAGCTGGGATGTGCGCAGCCCAATGCAGCATCTCAGCATCCCTCCAGGATGCAGGAAGCAGAAGCCAAAAGGTCACAATGTGCAGCTCAGGAGCTGTCATTGCGCAGAAACAACCTGTCAACATGTGCAAGAAGATTTGCTGATCCTTCCGCCATGGTCTTCTTAGCAGCAGAGCTAGGCACTCCGGCTGAACCTTGTGTTTCAAGGTTTTATGCGGTGCATTTTGCGCTCTCTCTGCAAACGTTCAGAGAACTGGCATCTTCGCTTCACTGAAGGGACAGCAGAGACTGTAGATAGGACACGGTGCAGGATGTAGGCCTGGTCCAGCACAGAAGCAGCAGCCATGAGGCTGACAGAGCATCAGGCAGTGTCCAAGGAGGACACCAAATCCTCGGGAGAAGGGACAGAGCACTAAGATGACGATGTTCTGGCCTGCACAGATCCGGGAGGCATCGACAGCAGGGAGAGCAGCCACGGAGGAGTTAAGGAGAGAGGAGGGAGAGCAAGAAAGAGGCAGGGAGAAAACATCAGGAGGCCAAAGATGCCAAGAGAGAAGGGAGGAGGAACTGGAAGGGCTCAGTGCAGCACATCATCTTATCTGGGGCGGCTCAGGCTATGAGGGAAAGGAAGGGAGAGCATCAGAAGGGCAGGGGATATGGGCGGGTGAAGGGAAGAAGGGGCTCAGGAGAAGGTCACACATGGTCAGGGGGTCAGCAGAGATGCCAGATGACTCTCACCCTGCACATCGGCCACAGCAGAAAATAAACAAGCCAAGGCAGAAAGCGAAGTCTATAGCCAGGATCATCCACTGTACAATTTGGCACCTACCACCTTTCTGCTTCAGTCCTCCTCACTAGCAGGCGCGCAAAAAGCTTCCGGCGTCACCGTGCAAGAGATGGAGCCACCGGCAGCCTGGGCAAATGGCCAAGCAAAATCCTAGCACTTTTCTGGGAGGGGAAAAAAAAACAGCCCAGGCAGACGGAGGCATCACTGCAGAGAGCTGAGGCCAGGTCCCGACACGCTGCAACCGCACCACGATGCAAATCCCCGATTTTACCCAGCATGTGCTAATTTGCTAAACAAATGCCATCATCGCCGACAATCAGGATCCTGCAAGTGCAAAGGAGACGCAGGAGCGGTTTCCGAGCCAGGTCCAGCGCTTGCTCCGCGATGCTCCAATCCCTTGCA